GTCCTTTATCATATCCATTTCTATACCATGTGGCTAAATACTTAAATGAGATATCTATATGAACGCCAATGGATGGAGGTTGTGTTGCTAGTGTTGGAATATGGTTCATTCTTATGCTTCTGATTTATACAAAAGGCTTCTCAGGATGCACAAAGTCAAAGCATAACCAAAATTGGCGACACAATCTATTTTTGAATGCCTCATATAGTAATGCTAGCAATAATAATAATCAAAATATGAACACATATTGACTATAAAAACCACATCATGATTTAGTAGAGGCTGATCTTTTGATCAACTGAGTGGGGTGCTCAATTAATGACCTTCTCCCCTCCTATCTATGTCCCCTAGCCAAGACACTCAGGTTATGATGGATAGTGGCCTTTGGCATAAGTCACGAATTTTTTAATTTTCCTAAAAGATTAGGAGACGACTTTGAGATCTAGTGTTGTAGTCCATTTTCAGCAAAAATTTGCAATAAAATGGATTTTCTACATAAGTTGTTGGATTTGGACTCTCATTTTCTGTTTCACATTGCACTAGTGAGACTAGATCAAGAGATTGGGAGTCTTAACTATCCGGCGCGTTTGGTAACCCCAAAGGCATCCCATAATGTGGCACTCTAAAAATTTCAATTCACTCGAGCGCAAGAGTGAGCGCTCAAGCGGTCTTGTGAACCATCCAATACTTTGGGCTACAGCTTGAGATTCTAAGAGTTTGAATTTTTTACTTGAGTACAGGTTTGTCCGCTCAAGCAGTCTGTCCATCACACAACTTGAGAGGCTACAATCATTTGTTCACTGCTCGAGCGCAAGAACTACTGGTCGAGCAGCCTATTCAAAGTCAGCCACTTAAATCTCCTTTTCACTTCAGATTCTTTCACTTTTCTCTCTCACTTCTCTCTCTTTTCACCATTTCCAACCCTCTAAGCTTTCTAACCTAGATTTCATCTATTTTCACTAAAAATCTGCCTCTCGTTCTTGAGGCAAAAAGTCGAGCATGACGAGATCGACATTTTGAACCAATTGGATCACATTTTCCTCGGCGTCACTTCTTGGGTCTCCTCTCATCCATTCTTTCCCTTTGATGTAGGGATTTCTTTTTCTCTCTTCAATACACTCTCATAGATAGATACGTGGTATTTTCTATTACATGAAAAATGTGATTTTGTGAAGAGATTTTCTATCACATTATTTATTTATGAAATACGAACACCATTGATGATAAAACATTATTGAGCCACATTTAACATCGTGAAGTTGAAACATGAAATAAGAGGAGAAAGAAAATCAAGTGTTGTATAATTTTGTGTGTTTTGAAATTGTTAATGATTGGAATTAGTTCTTGAAGCTATATATTATTGTGATTGTTTCGGATAGGATAAGTTGATAATATTGGAAGTTATGGGGATATTATGAGATTGTATTGATATGTATTATTAAATGTTTAGAGGTTTTGTTCTTGATCATCGGTGGAAGGTGGCATAGATTGTTATAAAATAGATTATGCGTACTATGTGTTGTTGATTAAAAGATGTGAAGGGTCTGTTTCCTTCCGGCTAGTGATCGGTAAAGCATGGCGCATTGAGATAGGTTACGATTCCTTCTAGTTTGACCCCCGGTAAATAGTGTGAACGTTCTGCATTTCTTCCGAATAACGACTGGTAAAGTGTGGCATATTGAGATAGGTTCACTTACCTTATGGCTTGCGCTCGATAAAACATGTGAACTACTGAGGCTATATGAAGGTTCTGCTTTCCTTCCAACTAGCCATCGGTAAAGCGTGGTGCACTAAAATTGGTTACGATTTCTTCTGGATAGCAGGGTAAATCATGTTATGGAATTGATAACTCTTTGTAATTGATCTAGCTGTGAATTGAAAGGTACCCAACTACCCTTCGTGCTAAGGCCGGTAAATGTGGAGAATGTGATGTTATTATGATAGTAGTCTAATTGAATGGATTTAATGACATTAATATGGATGGAATATGCATTTTTGAACTTGAATTGTGCCTTGGTGGGATTTATGTTTGGTTATGTTAAATATAGTAACTATATATTCTGTCTATCATAATAATGCATACCATATTATATTCATTACCATAATTAGGTTTCTCTCCTCCTTTATAAAAGAGTCTTGTATACATTGTTACATAATTATTCAACACAATATGGAATATACAAATAATATAATATTATCTTTATCTCTCTCTCTCTTTCTCTCTTTCTCTCTCTCTCTATCTCTCTCTCTCTCTCTCTATCTATCTTAGACATTGTAATATGATATCAGAACTATAGGTTAAGCTCTTGGTGTTCTTTGCCTTACCGGACGGCTGCAACCTTGCATTGGCCATCCACTGAACCTTAATCCATTCGGCTGCCATATTTTCCTTTCAATATCGCTTCGTGGTGATCTCTTCCTCTGTTTGTTGGTTTATTCCTACCCTAAATATCTCTATCATATGTTTTTTTACTCGCAATCCTTTTTTTTTTTTTTTTTTGGGTACTTCTTCTCAACTCTGTCTTTTCCTCTACTTCAACCTCAGATAGATTTCTATATTCAAACCAATTTGAGTTTGAGGCGGGTGTATTATACCTGTTGGAATGGTTATAAAATTCTAGATAAAAGTTTGTTTTTTATTTATTTATTTTTATTTCGAGTTTGATTTTTGTAATCAAACATATTCTCTCCTTTTTCTCTATTTCTTTTATTCTGGTTGTTGTTTTGTACACAACAGAATTAAATCCTTTTAAATACGGTGAAGATTGTCCTACAATACCTATATCATGGTGAGCATGATGATATACCATGTGAACCACCCAAGTCGCCCCCTTTGGCGCACCACCTAAGTCGCTCCCTTGGCGCACCAACTAAGTCACCCCCCGGCGCACCAACCAAGTCGCCTCCTAGCACATAACCCAAGCCGCCCTCTCTGGCACACAATGCAAGCAACCCTTTAGAACATTTTCTCATAAGTCGTCCTTGGTGCCATTACCGTTTAGTACCACGTCATAAGTTACATGTGTGCCACGTTTGTTGTTTAATATCCAGTTCTTCTTCAAAGGTTTGGCAAAACCTTGAACTGTCCCAGCATTAGCTCTAGCCATGTTCCTACAATGGTCCAACACAACCATAAACTCTCTCCCGGCATTAGCTCTGGCCTCTGATTAATCTCAAGCGTCCATGTGCTCTACAACAATTCAGCATGACCTTAACTTGTTTCAGCGTTAGCTCCGACCATGTTCCTACAACAATTCGACATGACTATAAACTCTCTCCCGGCATTTTCTTAAGCCTCTGATTTATCTCAAGTGCCCCTGTGCTCCTATCTAGACTTTGTAATATATTTGCCTCGGATCTATCCATATTTTATTTTATTTTTAGTTTTATTTCATGTTTTAATTTCTCTCTCCAAACTCAAGTTGATATCCCTACTTGAGTTTGAAGAGGGGTGTTATATAATAATTATATATTCTATCTATCACACATACCATATTATATTCATTACTATTCTTAGAATTACCATACCTAGGTTTTTCCCCTCCTATATAGAAGAGTCTTGTATACATTATTACATAATTATTCAACACAATATTAAATATACACATAATATGATATTATATATTTCTCTCTCTCTCTCTCTCTCTCTCTCTCTTAGACATTGTAATAGGTTATACGACTTAAGGGATGTTAGTTTCAATGGCGGTTGTGGATGTTCTCGAAGTTTGTTACATATTAAATAAATGAATTGGTTGTTTGAGTGTAGATGTTGAGTATTAATGAAATGAAGTAAGATGTTTGATATTTAAACTAGCGTTGGACAACGAGAAATGATTTTTTCTTAAATGTTGAAAAGGTATTCTTTTAGAAAATGTATACCTATGTGTTTCTATTTTGACATATCAAAGCCACACTACCTATGTACTTATGACTTGAGTGTCATGTTTGTATATATCCATTGTATATGTCATTGTTTAGATTCATTGTAAATCCCTACTGGACAGATTTGATCATTCCCATTGTTTAATCATTTTTCAAGTATGGAGTTTGTTGCCTCGTCCAAGAATCAAGAAGTTTGGGTTACTGAAGGCTTGAGATTTGTAAATTATAGGCAAAATGTCAATGTGTTGTAAAAGGGAATTTACTCTTTTCATTATAGTTATTTTATTCTAAAATTCTCAATGTAAGTTTGAGGGCATTTGTTGTAATTATTATATTTGAACATTTCATCATTATACACGAGAGAGAACATTATTATTTGTTTATTTATTATTTTGCTTTTGCAATTATTCTATGGAAATGGACTTAAATAAATGATTGGTAATAGATTCAAGTAATAAAATATGTGGCGTTACAATTCAATTTGGAAAAATTGAGGAGATAGATAAAATTTGTATGGATAGATGGCATTTATTGAACTAAATTTGCACATAGACTTTTCACCAATAAATATCCTTATGTCCTCAATGAAACCACTGTTGTCCTTGATGACTTATAGTAGTGGGAATATGAATTTATTGATTTTTTCAAAAAATAACTAGTGCTTTAATATATCAAGAAAATAGAAAGTAGAAAAAAAAATTATAAATTCATCAAAGTATAATAATTTAGTGTATAAATCACTTATACTTTTATGGATTTGTAATTTTTTTTTTCCAACTTTTTTGATATTTTTCCTATTATTTTTTACCCTAAGAGATAGATAGAGCCACGATTTAACAAGTCAAAAATTGGGCATTTCACCATTTTAGAGAGATTAAAAAAAAGAAAAGAAAAATCGAATAATGGTTTATGAATAAAGTCAACCATTTTTACCATTACAGGAGGCGACCCTCGAAGAAAATATCTTGACCCTAATAGTGTTATGTTATTGTAATCAATCAGTAGTCAGCCAAATAAATTAAAAAATAAAAAAAGTCAACTAAACAAAATCAAAATAAAAGGTAGTAATGAGGGAAAAAAATTATTGAACACTTGCAAAAAAAAAAAAATGAACTTACTAATGATAGCAATTCTTGACTTGGACCTCTGGTAGGCGCACCACCGTGTCGTTATATTAGCATATAAGCACTTGTCTGCGTACGATTGCAATGAATTCTATTAAAATATGGAAACATATTTTTTTACTAATATTAAAAAAAAAATTCATATATAATTTATATATATATTTATCTTATTAATATATCACTGGATGTTGATTATAAATTTAAAAAATAGACTTATATATATTTTTTAGCACTTGCCGAGGAAGAGACACACATTGAAGAGGTGACTAATCCTTTAGATGAGCTTGGGCCACCCAATGAGCAACCTTGTTAGCTGATCTAAGAACCCACAAAAAAAAAGAGATTTCCATGCTCAGCGTATATTTTATCTAATTTTACATATTTTTTTAATTTTTCGTTTCAAATTTCTTCTCAAATTTATTAACTAAATACAACGTGAGATAGATAACCGTTTGGTTATCACCTTCAATCTAAACATTAGATGGGTTCCTGGCTTGGGCTAGCTGACAAGCTGACCGGCAGGCTATTGCTTCACCTTAGAGGGTGGAAGGAATAAAGATGTATTTTATTGTGAATTTTTTGTTTTAAAATAGTTATCACCTTCAATCTAAACATTAGATGGGTTCCTGGCTTGGGCTAGCTGACAAGCTGAACGGCAGGCTATTGCTTCACCTTAGAGGGTGGAAGGAATAAAGATGTATTTTATTGTGAATTTTTTGTTAAAAAATAAAAGATTATTAAAAATAAATTTATTTATAATAATAATATTATCATATTATTCTTATTAAGTTTTTTTGTTTGAATAAAAATTTTCATATTATTTCTCTTTTGGGACGTGTTGAGTTGAGATAGTGCCCAATTTAGTTATCATTGATTGAAATAATAAGACCTATTGTCTTTTTGTCTTCCTTGAAATGACAATAAAATAAATATCTCAATACATAGTGTGAAGTAATACTTCAAAAATCACTATAATTTTGGGTAACAAGTCGATGGTGAAACAAAACAAATAAACCTTAAATAGGCACATGTACTTGCACCTAGTTTCGTTGAGGTTGGTGCAATAAGTTTTCACCTTCATCACTACATTTTTTATTCTTGTCATGTCATTTGATTATTTCATCATATTTATAATTATTTTTAAAAAGTAAATTGTTTATTTTTATTTTTTTGAATTTATTTAAAAATTATGATAACATTATATGATCATAATTATGATTATGATTATGAAATTAATTAATGGTTCAATGAGTTTTACCTAGTAAACAATTTCATCAATTAAAATTAAGCCAATCCTACAAACTCAACAATTAGTGGATAGGAAACAAGCCTATTCTTTATAGTCAATTGAGCTTTCCCGTTATGCTCAATTTCCATGTAACTTTACTTTCCAAGGATATTAATTTAAAAAATAGGATGAATTATATTTTTCATCTACTTAAATTTCATTTTAATCCCTCAATGTCCGATTGCAACAATTAAGTCATATTTTAATGTGGTCCTTTCATTCAAAATTTAAATAAAAAAAAAATTTGACAGAAATGCTAATTGAGCATTTTTACGGCATTCAAAGGGGGAAAAGTTTTCAAATTATTTTACATCATCCAACTTTCACTCAAAATTTATTTGTTCTTTTAAATTTTCACTTATTTCACTCAAATTTTAAATGATTGGATGATGGGAGACAAAATTGAAATATAAATTGAAATTTAAGAACTTAATTATTATAATTACAAGATGAGTGACCAAAATAAAATTCAAATAAAAATTAGAGGGTGAAAAAGTGTTATCGGTTTAAAATATAAGAAAAGAAAAAAACAACTTGTTATTGGTTTTGCATTTTCATTCATTAAAGTCGATGCCAATGAAAAACAATAATCTTACTTCCTTTATTGTTTATGAGCTACACTTGTATTATTTATATTTATCTATACTAGGTAGAAAAAAGCTCCGCACCGGCCAAATGTTAAAACAAAAAATTTGTATAAAAAAATGTAAATTATTTAGATTATTTAAGTTAATTACTTGTGTACTGTCTTTCATATGAGAGGCATAAACGACTTAACTCTTTATAAATTTTAAAAATTAAAATTTCAATGAAGCATTTTTATATATTTTATACATTTTAATATTCTAATTTAAAACTATTGTTTCTGATTTGTATGCAATTTTTAATAATTAATTTTGTATGTAATATTAATAATTATTTTATTTTTTTTTTGTAAATAAATCATGGTCATATAACAAATGATCCATTTTGTTAATAAATAAATCATTAAACTGATTAACAATTTTAATGATATAAGAAATATCTGTCAATGACCAATTTTAATAATTTTATTATTGCATAGGAGAGTAGTTATATATATATATATATATTCTGTTTGTTTAGTTAAATTAAAATATTTAACAATGAGTAGCTGTAATTTCTAGTATTATAAGGGTATTTCATGTTTTAAATAAATAAACCTCAGAGATGTGTTTGTAATTTACACAAAAATAAAATATTCATGTTTCATAACTGACCAAGATTTTGTGCATAATTACAATAAAACCTTCATCTAAATAATCATGGTCATATAACAAATGATCCATTTTGTTAATAAATAAATTATTAAGTTGATTAACAGTTTTAATGATATAAGAAATATCTTTCAATGACCAATTTTAATAATTTTATTATTGCATAAGAGAGTAGTTATATATATATATGTATTTTCTGTTTGTTTAGTTAAATTAAAAAATTTAACAATGAGTAGTTGTAATTTCTAGTATTATAAGGGTATTTCATGTTTTAAATAAATCTCAGAGATGTGTTTGTAATTTACCCAAAAATAAAATATTCGTATTTCATAACTGACCAAGATTTTATGCATAATTACGATAAAACTTTCATCTAAATTAGAACCATCAATAATGGTAAATATTACAAAAAGAAAAGGGCAAAATGAGAAAATTAAAATTCAAGACACAATAAGTAAATAATACAAAATAAAAGGATAAAATAGGAATTTCAAGTATTATAAGACCAATTTATATTTTAAGCAAACCTTATGGGTAATTCTATTTCCACACAGCTAATTAACTCAAGGTACACACTTAATGAAATTTTAATTTAATGACAATTATATCATAAATTAAAATGACCATAATAGACATCCAGCACCACCAATAATATTCTATGAAAAAATTCTCTGTATACATTTTTTAAGAATAAAAAAAATCTCAATATACACATTTTGAGTTAAAAATAAATAAATCCTACTTTTTTCCATTGTCGTTACTTTGGATAAGTGGAGTCCAGCTTTTCATTAAATTACAACATAAATTTGCATTATCTAAGATCAAATTCTATTTGTTTTTTTTTTAAATTTCCGTCTTCTCTTTTCGTTTCTTAACCCACCAAACATGTACTTATAACATTTTCAATTTACTATTTAACTGGCTCAGCTAATTTGATTTACTAGGAATGTAAAATCAATTCAGTATGAACCGTTGTATTATCTTCCAATTCCTTCATTTTTATGCAAAATAACAAAAGCTAGATAAAGAATCCAAATTTATAGCGATTCTAGTTCAGACCAGGCTTGTTGATATTTTGAATTCGGGTTTCATTGTCTCGTATGATTGTTCATGTCTTGTTCCTCATTATTCCTCTTTGAGTTTGGTCATTGGAGTGTCTTAGTTATGTTTGGAACAGGTTGGTACCTTGTTTTAAAAATTGTTATTGCCCAAATTTTTGTCTCTACACTCGAGCGAAACTTCCTTCGCTCGAGCGGCCTTTGAAAACTCTCAGTACTTTTGCAGGTCTACAAAACTACTGGGAGTGTGCATTCTTCGCTCGCGCGGTGTTACGTTCGAGCGGTCCTTCCTAAGCTCAAGCGGTTGTCTCTTGTCTACAAAACTTCTAGGAGTTTGTATTCTTTGCTTGAGCGGTGATTCTTGCGCTCGAGCGGTCCCATCTTCTATGTCTGGACACTCGAGCGACACTTCTTGCGCTCGAGCGGTCTGTTCATATATCAGTTTGTAAAAGTCACTTTTTGAATCACTTTTTCATAACTTTCTCTCTCTCTAAACATTCTAAAAACCCTAGATCTAGAGCTTTTCTCTCTAAAACGCACTTTCTCTCTATAAATACACCTAGATCCATTGACTTCTCCACCCTAGCCCTTTGATAAAAAGGTAGAGCACACCGAGAGCTTCCTCTTAACAAGAACAAAGTTGATTTTCGGCGTCTTTGAGGTTCCTCCCCTCTCCCTCTATCTCTTTCATTTTCTAAGCTTGAGGTAAGGATCCGCACTTTCTTATGATTTTTAACTTAGCTATTTGTTTTTATAAAACAACATTATGAAAGAGGGGATTTTTGAACAATCTAGGGTTTTGACTTGAAAAAAAAAAAAAAAGGAGTTTTCAAATGGGTTGTTGGAAATGATTGAGGAAATGTATTTATTGTTGAGCTATGATGAAATGATAGATTTTTTTATCTTTGAAATTGATTTGTAAAGGAAAAGGGATTTTGCCCTAACTATATATCAAATGTTGATTTTGTAATGAAAAATGGAATTGATGTTGGAAAAGAGGAAATGGATTGATGTTGATGAGGATAGCAGAGTTGGATATGAATTATCACTCCCATCTTAAGATTTTCGAAAAGTTTATCTTTATGGAAATTATTTATCAGTTTAGAGATATATGTATTGGGCTATGGTGGAGGATTTCTATGATTGTTGTAGAAATTACACAAAAATTAGGTGAATTGGAACTAATTTATCATCCATTTGCATTGAATATTGTCCCATCTTTAACACATTGAATATAAGTGGTGAATACTTGGTGAATCTGAGTAGGGGTGTGGTAACGATATTAAGTTGGCATGTGTGTCTTTGGTGAAAGATCAGAAACCCGCGCGAATAGGTGTCGAGCCTTCCAATTAATACCGATAAAAATGACAAATTGGTTGTACTTGTATAGTCTACTTATAGACACATACCTAGAGATTCACAATGTTATACCCACCACCTTGTTTTCTATTATAAAGGAAATGGTTTTACGAATTGTGTTATAAACTTGGCATTGCATGCTTTTAGAAATAGATATAAAATATTTTCTACACGAGCATTGCATATGCATTCACCATATATATTTGTTAAGATTCATAAACTATGTTTTAGTATCTCTACTAGGCTTTAACTCACCCTATGTGGGAAAACCATTTTCAAGTGTTAATGATATGCCTTCGCCAAGGCAAAAGCTTGGAAGGAGTTAAAGATGAAGGCTTCTTTTTGTGTTTTGTTTTATTTATTTTGTACAAGCCAAGGGCTTTAACTGTATTGGATTTAAATCCATTTTGTTATAACCAAGCATTTGTCTTGGAAAGATGTAAGCTTTTAGGGCATTTAATATTTGTTTAACCTTTATTTCACATCTTCAACTTATGGCATATGCTATAGATTCAGGGTTAGGACCTATGAATGTATAACTGCATGTGACATCTTTTGAATACTCTGATTAGATGAAATGAAAAGGATATTGTATTCAAAATGGTATTGTTATTGTTATTTAATCATATTGTAGATGGTTTTATTATAATTATTTCGGGGTGTTACAAAATTAATAAGAAAATTTAGAAACCCAAAACTGGAAAACAGAAAAAGAAACATTGGGTCCTCAAAAGCATGAATCTTCTAAAATTTTCTCTTCTTTTCATTCTACTTTCTCAAGAACCAAACAAAAAGGAGGAAGGGTACCATGCAGGGATGGACGTATTCAGACTGGTATTGGATCTTGTTGTGGAGTATCCTGATGATGTTAGACTCAAAGGGTGATTTTTTGGGGTGTCGGTTGACATTTGGATCTGGGATTGGGCGAGAACATTGGGTATATGTTTGTTTGGTTGGCAAGAAAATTGTTGTAGAAACTGAGGCATTAGGGTTCTGCAAGAAGAGAGAAGTAATATCCGGGAAGCTTGGAGAACTTGAGTCATAGTAGTGGCAATGACGCTAACTGTGATTGTAATTGTGACTGTGGTAGTAACTGGTTTAACTGTGAGTGGCTCCACAAATACGAAAGTTGGGTAAATCAAAAGTGTGTGCAAAGGAAGGTTAAGTGGTGTGTGTACAATAGTTACGAGTGAATAATATAATTATAATTTTTGGTGTGTAGATTGAGAAAATTACTCAATAAATTAATTAATAGATGTGTGTATTGAGAAAAGATGTGCACTGATGCCTCATTTGGAAATATGCTTTTTTAGTAACTTTTTTATTTTTTGGCTAAAATATGATGTAAAAAAAAATAGTATATTTGAGATGACTTTTTAATTTTTTACGAAAAGATGTGCAAAGGTAGAGAGAAAAAAAAATTGACTTTTTGGTATAGATTGTTGGTTTTTTGATTTTTTTAGAGACTTTTTGACTAAAATTATCATTTGCCAAACGAGACCTAAGCTAATCAAGTGTGTGGAAATAAAATTTCCCAAACCTTATTGGTGTATTTGTAATTTTCTCAAAAACAAAAGTTTTAAGTTTCATAATTGACTAAGAATGTTTACATAATTACGAAAAAAAATCTTCGGAGCCAATTTGGCAACACAGTTAAAAGCCAAAAGTCAACTTTTAACCTATTTTGAGTCACATCACCTCTCACATTTTTTACACATTTTTGTAAAAAAAAAATCAAAAAAACTAACTTTTAATCATCTTCTCAAAACACTCCTCAGTACCACCAATATTAGTTAATATTATCAAAGAAAATGATAAAATGGGAAAGTTAACATATGAGTCACCATTAATAAATTATGCAAAATAAAAAGTACAAGCCTCAAGCAGCAAATTATATAGATAGATATATAACAGCTGCTTAGCGTTTAGCAAGGCTTGTATTTTCATTTTCTAATTTTGCCCTTCTTTGTTCTTTATACTTTTTGTCTTTTATCTGTAGTTAAAGTATTTAGAATAAATTATAAATACATCCTGGGATTATTTAAAATATAAATTGTTCCTTATTTTTCTAAAAATTATAAATATCTCTCTTTTGAGAATTTTAAATTATTGTCTCCTATGCAATAATAAAATTACTAAATTTTTTAATTGAAATATATTTATGAGATTATTAAAAGTAATAATTGATTTAATGATTTATAAATAAAAAGAATAATTTATTATGCGATTAGAAATAGAAATAGGATGTAATTTCCACAATAAACAATTCATATTTAAGCAAACTTCAAAAAATGTGATTGTAATTTACCCATGTACTTATCTATTTAATATAATATAAATGAGGGATATCTTATGGTAAATATGAGATAAAAGGGGTAATTTGTTGTTACTGATAAATATGAGATGATATCTTATGGGTCATTTGAGAATACACACACTCAAAATGGTGTGTATTATATACAAATTATGATATTTATAGTGTTAATTATTACAAATATTATAATTAAATCTTTTTCAGTCATATTACAAAAAACAACGCCATAACTAAACACACATAACGAATATCTAAAGATTTTTTTTATCATAAGAAAATAATAATTATAATGAGTTATAGCTAATACCGTATTGACATATAACTAAGTCATAACTAATACTATAATAAGTCATAACAAAAATCACAAACATTATAATTGGGGCATATGACACATCCCAAAATGACCACAAACATCATAATTATGGCATATGATACATATTTCAAAATGGGGTCTGTTTTATAGAATTTCCGGATATGTTACTACTGTATTAATTCAGTTTGCTCAAATTAGAACAATTCAATTCTTCAATTGTTTGTTGAAAAAGGCTTCTTCTTATTGAAAAATAGCATGAACTTCATATCCGATTAATTTGAATTTTTTTATAGATGATATGCTCGACGAGAAAAAGGCTTCTTCTTATTGAAAAATAGCATGAACTTCATATCCGATTAATTTGAATTTTTTTATAGATGATATGCTCGACGAACCCTACAATATGAACAATTTGATTTATTTAATACATCATTCAATTCTGAGAAGAATAATTGAAATGAAGGCTGAATGCAATTAAATTTACTGAAATAGAATAAAATTATTATTTTTTAACCTTTACAAGAGCAGTATTCTATTATATTTTTTTCCCATTAAAACAAATACTACATAAAAGTCAAATATATATATATATATATATATATATTGTTGTTCAATAATATATATATTGTTCCAACTTTTGGTTTAAAACCAAAAGACTTGTTTTTAATTAGAGATTGGTATGCATAAGATTTAATTAAGAGCATTCTTATTCAAAATAAAAAAATTACACTTAATTTTCAACCTAGTGAGATGGTAATTAATTAAATATTAAAAGTAACACTTGCTCTTATATATTCTCTAATTAATTAGATATCACTTACAGATTATCGGGTTTAGAAAGTGAGTTTATAAAATGAGTTTGTGTATTAGTACATGCAAGCCTAATTGAGATGAGATTTTTTTTATTATGATTCTTTTTAGGGGTTTTTATTGAATCTCAAATTTTCTTGTTAAAAAGATAAGCTAAAACGTTTTTATTTATTAACGATAAATATTAAAATATGACGAAAATACAGCCTCTTCTCCCATCACCTCACACAACAACCACTGAGAGTCACGGATAAGAAATAAAATTATGTATAACATTACTCCTACTATTATTATTATTGAGAAAATCTTACTATTATTATTATTGAGAAAAATTAAGGATCATGACAATTTTTTTATGAAAATGATCATGAAAGAATTATGACCCTTAGATTACCAAGTGTGTTCTGTTTTATTTTAAGTATAATCCAAGAGTCATAAATCTTTCATGATCATTTTCATGATACCTATTATTGCTCATTATTATTTGCTCCTTTAAAATAAATAAATAAATAAAGTACATACCTTGGCATCCAGAGGGAAGATAAGGATTTCCTAGGCTGAGGTAGTCGCAATGGCACGTGAAACGAATGGAAGTCCTGTTAGAAATGGAAAGCATCGTCACCGATTCGTAACAGACGGTTCTATATGGGTTGATGATTCCAAGTGCATCATAAAAATTTTGATAGGATGTGTAGTTCTCAGCACTAAGATATAAATCCCAATTGAGCACAGCAGGGACATGACTCATGTTTTGGACAGCAAATGGGTCAGTTAAATAAGCAGTGAGCCAGTTTTGATCCACCAACAAAGCGTTAATACATGATGATGGTTGAAGACTAGCACCACGACGAGCTTGACCCACGCTTTGCAAATTTACCTTGAAGGCCTGGAGATCCGGCCCTGTGATTGGGGACAGGCAGCAGTTGACACCAAAGCAGCTATTAGTTAGGTCGCCGCCTCCTCCACCGCTGGTACGAGTACCACTGTTGCAAATAGAAATGCAGCCGGCAATGGTGCTGTCATTCACATACGTCATTAGGGCATGGTTGTCGCACCCGACGGCCATGAATATATTGGCTGTTGTTGACAAGACAAAAGGGCTATTTCTCAAGTCCACCGTGCTTGTCACTGTGTCTCCGGCTGTGCTTCCGTTGTTGTTAACAGTAGTATCGGATTCGGGACAGTTGGTAGATATTACTGGACTGTTGACTTGAACATAGCTGTCCATGTCATCTATTGAAATTTCCAGCACCTCAAGATCGATGCGTGTTAAGTAAGGTTTGATGTTGTTTTTGCATTCTACAGAGTACCAGCTGTCGAAGGAACAATTTTGACCAATTCCAAAAGGATACGGAATGCTAATGTTTCCGCACTTCGCTTGACAACCGTATTTCGCTAATGAAGCATTTACTAGTGCCGACGTTTTTGTCGGCCATAGCAGCAGCAGCAGTAGGACGACGGAGAGGATTACCCTTACCAATTGCAAACCCATGTTTTCTTTCTCTTCTACACTACTACATGAACGTCTTTTCTCCTCTTCATTTGGTAATTGGTTGGTGGTTTATATATAGAGAAAAGTTAGGAATGATGGAAAAAAAAAAATATTCATGAAAAATTTATAATTTTTGGATTATCTTAATTAGTGTGTGATGATTTATTTTAAATATAATCTAAAGATTATAAAATTTTCATAATTATTTTCATGAAATATTTTTCATGATACCTAATATTATTGTTATATATATATATATATACACTAGCGTTCCGTCCACGCCATGTGTAACTCAAAAAAAATAAAATTATAAAAATAATTACAAACAAAAATGCATACACATTGTGTGCGGCCCGAGTAATAACAACCTTTATTATTTAACCTATGGCCATAGATTCGAGACTTATCCTCTTCTTTGCATAACTTTTACTAAAACACCAAATATTTGAAACATAAATGTGTAAACACCATCACCAATCTTCATTTTATATATTAGAATAAATAGATATAAACATTAAAAGGTGTGTATCATATGTATATGTTACATGTTTTTATGATAGAAGTTGAGTGGGTAATTTTTGGGAAAAATTGGGCCGAGCTGCGAGTTGGGCATTGAGGCCCAAAACGCGAAGGACTAAGAAAGAAGGCCGCAATAGATACTCCGGCCCATAAAGACAAAGTTACTTCGGCCCGAGGAGGTGAAATTACTCCGGTCTTGAAGCAACTCACAGTTAGGCCAGTCTCATAGTTAGTCCGGTCACAGTATGTTCTGAGAAGCCGGTTTTGGAGTTAGTCCGGTCGTGACTTACAATGGTTAGGACGGTCAGAGCTTGTTACTTGGAAGTTTGATCTAAGTACGTCAAGGTTGAACAGAACAGCCGAAGTAATGAGTTAGAGGAGAAGACCGAGCTAAGGATAATTCGGCCCTCTGTGGCTCAGCATAGCCATTTTTACTTCGGTCAAAAGGAAGTTCGGCCATAAAGAGAACCATCCCACTTGGTTTAAGCAGTGGGGGAGGGTGTGAAAGGATAAGCATTATCCTTAAGAGTATGAATCCTAGGAGGACTCTGCATGGAGAAATACAAGTCCTACTAGGATTGTGCCACGGGGAAACTTATAAAAACTCACAAGCATCACCTTGGAGGTGGTAATTGAACACAATCTTTCTGAGAACTTAGAGCTTTGTCTATTTGTCAAGTTTTCTGACTTAGGCATCGGAGAGGTTTCCGGCATACACCCGCCGGCTAGCTCACGTTTGTGTTTTCAGGTGACAAAGCGACGTCGTACGGAGGAGCGTGGACTTGGTTAACAGGATTATACGAGGAGAATTATTTCCTCCCCGTACAGAAGTTATCATAATTTATGGTTTAAAAATAAAATTTTCATTTTGCAGTAGTATTACTCATTTTTTTAATCCAAATATTTTCTAACAACAAAATATGTAACATTACTATAAAATGAGTAATTTCATTTCTCAACCACAAATTGTTGTAACTCTTATAAAAAAAAGTATGTAACATTTATAATAAAAACACGTAACACACAACAAAAATAAGTAACAAAGTGCATATGTTACGCATACAAGGTTGACCTTGAGTTCTTCGGGGCTAAGATAAAATTTTAAAATTCAAGCCCTTTATGCATTAAAAATATTTTTTTTTATTCAAAATTTTACCTTGTAGGTGTATGCTATAAATTCAAAATTAGTGTAGCGCGAATCATACCTAGAATGGATGAGATTTATAAATATATTTTTGAATTAATTTTTAAGAGTACATAGTATTGTTGTATACATATTCATAAATTTAAAAAAAAAATGTTGGTAAAATGGTAAGTAAATACTTTTTTTTATTTTTTATTTTTTATTGGCACTTATAGAGAAACCATCTCTAATCATTTTATCAAATGTTTATTAAATTAAGTAAGAAATGTTTTTTTTATCAAATTGAAAATTCATCAAATTTGAATTTAATAAAATTTAAAAAGATAGATGATTTTTTTCCTCATCAAATTTGATAAAAAGAAAATTTCAGATTAAGAGAAGAATGTTTAAAAAGATTTTAATAAAAAAATTTAATGAAAGGGTTGGAGTAGCACATATCAAATCACGTTTTGAAAAAGGCTATGGTACACACCCTTCAAATATGCATTTTATAACTAAATAAGAAAATATTATAATTTCATACTTTTTGAGTCATGATTAAAAATAAAAAATAAAATTATAACCAAGCACCACATTAGATATAACCAAAAATTTCATGACTAATAACTAAAATATTATTATAGTTAAAGAAGAAAATTGGTTATAACTAAATAATAAAATGACATAACTAGGAAAGTATATAGTACATCCCTTTCAAAAGATGTATATAGTAGAATTTTTCTCAAGTGTTTTACTCAAATTCATTATCAAATGAAAAAAGTTAAGAATCATAAAAATTAAAAGTAATGAAGGGTTCTGAATGCTCTAAGTATCTTTAATTTAGATTGTGAAGTTGAAGTAGGAACTTTAGACATTTATTTTTAAACCTCCAAACACCATAGGAATTAAAAGTATTTAGGGCCCTTAAGATTTGATGAAGCTTGGGAGTCCAAGGCGGCCCCACTCGCCTTGGGTCAAGTCCAGCCCTGGTACCATATAATTTTCCATGGGTAAAAACACAAGAAGTTTTACATTTTTGTCATAATCATATTAGATTATTTTAAGATTTTAATTTAGACAACACTAACTCATTTTCATCAAAAAATTGTTGCTCATGTGGATATCCTTGATCAATTGGGAATTTCTATTATCTATGTTATCTAATTTCGATTTTGGATCTAAGTGGATATCCTGGATGCGGGAATGTATTTCTATAGCAAGACTATCTGTCTTAGTGAATGGCTTACCAACGGAGGAGTTTTCTTCACAGAAAGGTCTCAGACAAGGTGATTCTCTTTCTCCTTTTCTATTCAATATAGTGGCTGAAGGTCTGGATGTCTTAATGAACAAAGCTTACAAGAAAGGCATTATTAAGGGGGTAAGAATTGATGAAAAAAATTAATGAAAAAATTAAAGTAATTCATATAAAATTAAAAAAATTATTCAAATTTAAAATCAAATTATATTGAAAAAATTAAAAGAAAATGATGAAAGTTTGAAAATATTTTGAAACCTTCTTATTATTAAAAACTAGAAATCCATGTGGGTATTATATTCATATTATATTTTTAGTTATGAATTGAAATAAAAAGAAATGTAACTTAAATTATTGGATTAATAATAGAAACATCATATTAATTATTGTTAAATATCATTTCACTTCATATTTAATAATAAATTTTTATATTGTATATTTGTCTCACATTTAACTTTTTTTTAACAGTGATGCTATATGTACCAATTAGTATACACACTAGTGTACCAACTAGTGTTATAATATCATAATTGACCCTATTTATTATATAAATTACAAATACCAAAAATTTTTAAAATTAAGCCACATCATCTATTAAAACACTAGTATATATAATATTATTCTTTTTTAATACAAATTATTAAAATTACACTAATTAGACTTATATATATATATATATATATATATATATTTAATCTTTTAAAATTAATAATTTATAAATTTATAAATATAAAAATTAACTTATAAATTTCATATATATTACAGGATAAAATATTAAATTATTTTAAAATAATTATAATAATTTTTTTTAATTTATAAAATTCGGCACATGGCACCATTGCCACTAGTTTGCTATTATTTAGGCATGCCATAAACTAAAAAATATAAAAAGTCAAAAAATTATTAAAAAAGTAAAAAAGTTGCTCCATCTATCCCAAAATAATTGTCTCATTTGGGGAATTCAACTTTTTTTAGTAGTACAATTATTATACTTTAAAAAAGTTGATTTTCCAAAATTATCCTTTTGATAGTATATTTTTTGAAAATATCAATGTCATAATTATATTTTTTATGTTGTTTACTAATTTAAAAGAATGGAAAAATATGAAATTTATATTATTTTTGTACTTAATTTTTAAAAATGAACAAATATTTTGAGACAATAAAAAATAAAATAAGAAACTAATATTCAAAGACGGATGAAATATCACGATTTACCAAAAATATATATAAAAAAAAAAAAAACCCCTTTAAGCCGTTCGGCCATGGGTGAGGGCTACTTCAAGCCACTGTCAGTGATTGAAGTGATGGTTACGCGGGTGCACAAAAAAAATTGCATAGGATGGTGTTATTTGGCTTGTGAGAGTTCATCATGAGTTTCGTTTTGATAATTTAAAAGTACTGTATGTTTGTTAAAAATTATGGTGATCGGATATTGATAACTATATGATCAAAGCAGTTTTGTAAAAAAGAAGTTGAATAGTGAGGTAATTAACGATTAAAAAAAAACTAATCTGATCAGATAACTATCGATATTTGATCAATATGATTTTTTAAAAATATATAATACTTGACGAGTTCTACACATTGACGGTTACGATTATCAAAACGAAATTCGTGATGGACCTCACAAGCCGAACATCTCTGTCCAGTCCGATCTCAGACCATAGGCAATCTGCTCTCAAGCAATTTGCTGCCCACCGTCTGAAGTCAGTAGGCATGTAGATATAGTAAGGGTAAAATGATAATTTTATTATTTTATATAATATTTTAATATATATATTTTTTTATAAAAAATTAAAAAATTATCTTAAATAATCATATAATTTTTTTTAATTTAAAAAATTAAAAAATACATTTATTTAATACATATCATGTGAGAGAGGTCAAGTCATTATCGACCAAAAAAATACACTTATTCAAACAACTCTTAATAAAAGGACAAAACAGAGTACGAAGAGTTATGATTGATTTGAAACATCACCCACTCAACGTACTGCATTCATTGGGAGAGGTCAAGTCATATCGACCAACTGTCTCATCACGGGCAGGCCATCCTTGACTCTTCCCTCTTGATTTACAACATAATAGAATGCGAAGAGTTATGATTGATGTGAAGCATCACTCACTCCACGTATTTGCTTGAACAATAATGGTTTAGAACTTTAAATATTG